GAGTGCCATCTGAGAGTGCCATCTGAGTGCCATCTGAGTGCCATCTGAGAGTGCCAGCTGAGTGCCAGCTGAGTGCCATCTGAGTGCCATCTGAGAGTGCCAGCTGAGTGCCAGCTGAGTGCCATCTGAGTGCCATCTGAGAGTGCCAGCTGAGTGCCATCTGAGTGCCATCTGAGAGTGCCAGCTGAGTGCCATCTGAGTGCCAGCTCAGTGCCAGCTGAGTGCCATCTGAGTGCCATCTGAGAGTGCCATCTGAGTGCCATCTGAGTGCCATCTGCTGGGGACAGCTGTGTCACCGCCGCTGCAGGGAGCACGGCAGCCACCCCCGGGCACCGATCCTGACATCCTTTGGTTTCTGAGTGAATCACTACAGCATTTCAAACATACCTTTGGCCCATTAGAGCACACCACGGCAGCAATTAACAGCAGCACYTCATAAATCCCAGCGGCGCTCCCTCTGGGGCTCTGTCTGTGTGGCCAAAGCTGTGACATTGCAACGCAACATCTGAGCACTGGGGAGAACAGAGGGGAGGCTTTAAAAACCACAGGATTTCTGTGAAATGCAGAGCTTTGAGCAGAGCAGGCAGGGAGCTGCCGAGGAGCCTCTCCCTCCAGATGTGGAAGGGCTCCCATGCACTTAGAGCTCCAGGTAAGGGCACGCTGATGTTTTAAATCTCTCTCTGAACTCTTGTTTATTTTTACTTGCCTTGTGACATCACATGAATAAATTCAAATTACTGCACTGGGAATGAAAAGAAGCTTTCCATGCTAACACACAGCCCTTGGATGCTGCTGCTCCCCAGCTTTGAGTTACAGCTGCTGTTTCTTGCCCCAGCTCTCCTTTCCACTGCATCTTTGGACCTTTCTGAAACACTGCCTGCAGCCAGGTTTGTACTGACACCGGGTTTATGCTGTGTTTGATAGCTTAAGGAGTAATTCCCATAATTTCTTCTGCCTAAAGATTCTTATTTCACAGTGAAACAGAAAAATTACTGGTATTGCTGTAATGATTACACTTATGTAATAACTATACTTACGTGATGGATTTATGTGGTGTAGAAATTATAATTATGTGATGGACCTGGAGGACTTGATATTAATTTAAATTGAAAATCAGCTGTTAAATCTGTTGTGGATTTTTAGGTGCTGCTATGTATTTCCAGCTAAATTTCTGGTTCATTTTCAGCACACACAGATACCCTGACCAACACAACCTGTCTCCTCCAGCTCCCCTGAGCCACTTTTCCCAGTGATGGGGTGGGTTTTGTTGGCCCCAATGCTCAGATTTCTGAAGATCCCTCTGACCTGAAGTTCTGTTGCTCAGCAGAGCCCCAAGTTCATTTGCTGTGCTGTAGCTGTGGGTGCTGAGGAGGAAGAAGCTGCCAGGGACTGACCTGGGAGCTCACAGCTTGAGCCAAGGCTGTGTGGGCAGCACAGGGAGTTTGTTTTCTGAATATATCTCAGTGATTCCTTGCATGCTCACAGAGGTGTTGCCAAGTTCTTACCCACGTGGAGCTCAAGCAGTGGCCTCATCTTTCAGAAAGGTTAATGTCTATATCTGCACCTATTTATACCTGGATCTGGATCTGGATCCAATCTGTGTGTCTCTCTTCATCTCTATCTAATCTATACCTACACCTGTACCTATATGAAAAATCAATTAAAAAATTAAAAATTAAACCCATGTGCTTTGTGGCACGGGGAAGCCTGCTGAGCTGGGCTGTCTGTAGGCAGTCATTCCTACCCACCTTCAGTGAGATCTGAAGGGAAGAGCAGCCCCTTCCCTGGAAACTCTGCTTCTCTCTCGCTCTCAGTCTCCATCTTCTCTCCAGCAGACCTGCTCAGGAAGAGAAATTTGCCCCCTTCAAAAGTTGCCATGACAACAAAGAAGAATTCTCACAAGCATTCCTACCATTCCCACCACTCCCTGAAACAGGAAAGGCAAAAGGTGGTGACAGCTCATTAGATGTGTCTGTTTAATGGATAAGGCAAGGCTCAGGCATTTKTATTTATTTTTTTTAATATCATTGGTCCTGTGGCGGGGGGTTGAATCACTTCCACAGAAGATGTGAGACACAAGGCTGGTGATTGAGGCACAGGCTGACACACTTCTGGAGAGTGCACTTAGCTAGCCAGAAACTCTTTCAAATGAAGTCATGTGTGACCACCACCAAAAACGTTACAAATAAAATTCCTCTGGGAAATGATTAATCAGACTTGGTAAACAAGTAAAGGCATGCTTCTTGTGAGTGCTGAGGCTGCAGAGGGAATACCCAGGACACGCTGCAGCCTTTGATCCCCGCTGTGTCCCCACAGCCCCTGGTGCCGTGCTGCAGGACTGCTCTGACCCACGCCTGGATGGCTCCCTGGAGGCTGCCCCTGCTCCCTGTGGCTCTGCTCTGGGGCTGGATGGTGACCTCTTCCTCCTCCTCCTCCTCCTCCTCACCCATCACAGGTAAAACCCAGCGCTCTGTGTCACTGCCTGACCCTGCTTTGTGCCTCCTTGGGCCCTTTGTGGGGTTTGTGCTTCAGCCAGAGCTTCTGTGTGAGTGCCTTGCTGTGTGAGTGGCTGCTTCATGAACCTCTAATCCATTGTCTAAACATATTATCTGTTCAGTGGGTGTTTTTCTGAGTAAATTTGAAAGAAGAAGAGACTGCCTTCGGTGCACAGCAAATATCTTTGTTTGATAGGGAGTTATCAAATATAAACACTGCAGGGATACATCAATGCTCCTGAGGGTGCTCCCAGACTGTGCCAGTGCAGGGAGCACAAGGCTCATTCACTCTTGGAAAGTGATGTTTTCAAAGGACATTGCTCTGCCACCATCCCTGTGTCAATGGCTCTCCAAGCCCTTTGCTTGGAGCCCTCGAGTTCCTCTTGGCTGCTCCGCACCCACAGCTCATGTGGCTCCTGGCAGGGCACTCTGAGCAGGTCTGACCCTCCCTGCTGTAACCAGCAGAGGTGAGAACATGCCCTGGAGGCCAYTGAGAGCATCCCTGCCCTGCCAGCACACACAGAGCGCTGCCAGCTCCCTGCTGCCACGCTGAGCAGGGCACAGTGCCCTCCAAATGGGCTTCAGGAAACAGGAGAGTCACCCCCACCCCTGAGCAGCACGGGGAGGGCAGATACAGAGGGGGATATATGGTTGACATTATTCCACCGGCAAAACAGGTGGAAAACTGCAATCCCTCCTGCTGCTTCCAGGTGCAGGGAGGGCACAGGGGGTGGGGGCAGTGGGGACAAGCTGGGGTTGTCAGCAGAGCAGGGATGGTGGTGGGAGCTCCCCCAGCATCAGGAGGGGTGGCTGTGACAAGCTGGGGTTGTCAGCAGAGCAGGGATGGTGGTGGGAGCTCCCCCAGCATCAGGAGGGGTGGCTGTGAGGGCTGGGGCTGCCTCACAACCAGCTCAGCATTGCTTGACTCATCATCTCAAACATCAGCGAGAGAAGCTGTTAGCTGGGGTTTTCCCAAAAAACACCCAGAAGCAGATTTCCTTCAAAACTGGGCAATGAAATTGCCATTGACTAGAAATGCCCTGTGTTCCGTGTGAGTGATGTGACTGGTATTGTAATGTATTGGTGTGAGAATGAGAAACTGCAAGAGGTAGTGCTGACATTTAAAAAACAATCGAATCCCAAATCCCAGAAGCAAACAACATCCCAAGAAAAGGCTTTTCTGTTCCCTCTGAAAGCCAGACAAAATTTATTTTGCAAGAATCGCTGTTTACAATTACAACTGTTTTGAAAAAATAGTGCATTTTTGCTCAAGATCAGGATGCAAACGAATTTCAGAGCACTTCCAGCCAGACATTCCAGTTCTGACCAATCTCTTTTGACAACTTGTCATCAGGCTCATGACAAAGGCTAGCAGTTTTCCATCCTTGTTTGCACTGCTGTGAGGCTCAGCATCTGTTCGTTCAGGGGGAGCGTGTTGTACTTGTTACACAGAAAAATACACAAAATCCAATTTTTCTCTGAATTATTATAGTCTATAGTTCCTTGCTCCAGTGGCATCCTAAATGCATTGCCATGACCTCCTACTTTGCCATCTAATGAAGTAACAAATCACCCATAGTGGGTAAAGCAGGTTCTTAAAATTGCCTGGAGCATGTTTCATTTGGGAAAATTTCTGCAGAAGAAACATCCTCCAGTGATGTAACCTGCAAATTTTCCAGGGTGCACATTGAAGCTGGATTGATGTCACCATCTTCCACTGAAAAATATTCTCAGGTCTGCTTTCACAATGGATTTATTAAAAAAAAAAAATTAAAAAAAAAAAAAAAAAGGAAAAAGTGGCGTAAATTCTGATAAAGACATAAAGAAAGGTTTTAGATAAGCCAGTGATTTGGAGGCCTGATTCCAAGGGAGAATGGTGGTAATGCTGGACTGACACTGACAGGAAATGGGCCCCAAATTCCTGTGAAATAAAGTTTATCATGCAATGAATATGTAAAAACCAAATGGACAACCTCACCTCTAGACAGTGGAGAAAAATAACCATACACAGTAACAAAAATTGACTTTGTTTCAGCTTATAAAACTGAGAGCCAAACAGCTTTTGTCATGTGAATGACTGGACCTTTGGGACACGTCTTAGTATGGAATTCATCCATATTTTATTATTAACATACATCAGTACCATATAGTATCTTAATAAAAGCCAGATTGATTATAAAGGCACATTTTTGTACAGCTGATAGATATGCAAAACAAGAATTATTTTAACCCTCTTCTTTTTTGCCCTTTTTTCCCCTGTTTTTTTCTTTCCCCAATAATCTTTAATGTACTTGAAGGGAATATTTAAAGCAATGTGGGTGATTTGAGTCTGTTACAGTAAAGGAATAGAAACCTCCGTGACAGCATGCTTTGATCTGTCATCCTGTGTTGGTGTACGTGCTGAACACAATGTTTGCAGTTAATTGTCCTGAAAGTTGGTAAATATAACGAGTTAAAAGCAGGCAAATATAGCACATGGGAGGTCATTCCAGGACAGCAACATTGCTTAAAACATCTCGAAAAGGAGCGCCAAAAAGTTTCATTCTGAGTGCCTTTTCAATGATCCTCGAGTGTTTTCTGTGAGCATCAGCAAAAGTTGATTTTTGAGGGGTGGGCAGAGCAGGGTTTGTGGGTGTTTGTGGAAAGCAGGGCATTGAACAGGCGGGGCTGCAGCCAGCAGCACCTCCCTCCACATCCAGCAGCTGCATTTCAAAACCCCATCGACAGATCCACAAATCCACCTTTGCTGCTTTGTTTGCTTTGTGTGTGTTCTCTCTCCTGACACGCTGTTTGACCCTCTGCTCTGTTTCTAACGCAGCCGCTGCCCCGCGGGACCTGCGGATCACRGACCCGGGGCTCTTGGGCTCTCTGGATGTCCAGTGGGAGCCCCCGCCCCTCGCCCCGGCCCTCAATGAGTGCACCGTGAAATACAAATTTGAATATCGCAGCTCTGGGGACACGGACTGGAAGGTAAGCGTGAATTAATCCTCCCAAAGCCGGGCTGTTGTTCTGCCTYTACTTCCCGCACAGGTTTGTCTTTGCATTTCGAGGAGGAGCAGAATCAAATTCCGGTTTTCCATGAAAAGCCGGACTGTTTCAGTGGTTTGAATCTTTTGCCAAATGGGAATGTCTTTTGAAATATAACAGCGGCAGCAGCCAGGGAAGGGGTTATTTCCGTCAGAGGGCTGGGTGTTCGCTGCCCAAAATAGTTCAGTAACATTCCTCATTGTAAAAGGCATTACATTTTTCTAAGGCATCTTTACAGGGCTTCAACTGAAACAACAGGTCCTTAGGGATGCAGTGTGGTGAAGAAATAAAAGTTAAATTCCCCTAATTATCCTATTGCTCTAGCATTCCCTCGACCCAGAAGTGTGTTTCCAATTACCATTTATTTCTCTCTGTTAGATATGGCTGGCTCTAACTCAGCTCTGTGATAAAATTACCAGTTTCCTCACATTGATGTGCAGCAGGGCACAGCACAGGAAGGGTTGTAGGGGTTTATTGGATGAGTGCTTAGGAGATGAAAGCTGCTGCAGGGTTAGGAAGGTAAATGGAATGGGGAGAGGACAAACCCAGCAGTGGGGGCTGTTTGGTTGGCACAAACACGTAAGGAACACATGAAAAATATGCTGAGGATCTCCCCCAACAAACTAAAATAGAGATTGGAATCCTGAAAGAAATGGGGATTTTTTTTTTGCACAGTCCTAAGGGAGGAGTGCTAGAGGAAGAAGAGAAGGAGGAGAAGAACTCTCAGGAAGAGAGAAGGAGCAATCAATGAGGCTGGCAGTGCTTGGGGCACAGCTCTGGCTGGAAAGGGTCATCTGCTTCACCTGCCCGAGGCAGCACAGCCAAATGTGTCCCACAGAAATGGGGTTCGGTGGAAAATCCAATTTTACCCATGGATGGCAGTGGTGAGGGCGTGAAAAGGGGCCCCTTGACCTGGTGTCAGTCAATGCACCTCACACTCCCAGCTGTGGATTCTTCCAGGATGATTTTAACTGCAATTGAAAAGAAAAACATTTGCAGTTTCAAAAATCACATCAGGATTCCTGAAACCATGAGTAATAGAAGTTTCTTATATGAGACAGATGTGCAGAGTAGAACAAAATCACCTCTGATACCTTGCCAACATCCTGGCCTTAGATAAGATCATGAAGAGCAGCCAGTCTGAAGCAAATTCTTTGGACATCAGCAGCAGAAGATTTCATTGATAGAAATATCTGGCTCAACACATGGGGAGTGCTGAGGACAGCCTGACTGTGGGCTCTGCCACTGCTGCTCCCACTGCAGCACACGGATGCATTTTATGACATGGATGCATTTTATGGCACATAAATACTTCTTGTCCCACTTGGTCCCACTGTCTCATCATCTGTTGTAAACCTTGTCAGCTTAGTTTGCCACACATAAACTGAAGGGGACTAAGTCTGAGGGGGAAAAAAATAGAAAAGCCTTCAAAGGGGGTGCTGAGAAAGCCCCACAAAAGGTGAAGGCCATGGTACACAGAGCTGGGTGAGCCCATGCTGCGCTGCCTGGCTGCTGCTCCATCCTTTCAGGGTGTGGTTGTGCTTCCCATGAGAACCAGCCTTACAAGACTCATTGTTCCTCCTGTTTCTGATTATCTCACACCATAAACTGGTGCCTTTTATCTGGATTATGGGGATATCCTCATCAGGTCCTCTGCAGTGCTTCTTGCTGCTGGGGATCCCATTAATGATCCTGCTCTGCCTTGTCATGTCCTTTGGGATGGAGGGACTCGGAGCCAGCAAAGCTGAGCACAGCAGGTGTCAATTAATGCTGGAGCAGCACTGGGCGAGTGAAGCAGGACAGAAATGTAAAGAGACAATAAAGCACATAAATGTGACTATTTGCAGTCTCAGTGAGAGCAGGAGTGCCTAATTCTGCAGCCTGCTTAGTGACAGAAAAGGTGCTTAAAAAGTCTGTCTTTCAACCAGGTTATTTTTACTAGGAGGCTCCGTTTCAGGGTTGGGTTTGACCTCAGCAGAACGGCTGAAGTGAAGGTGCAGACGCTGCTCCAAGGAGGGTGTACAGACGGCGTGGAGGTGCAAAGTGACTGGATTCATGCCTCATTTCATGTCCCACTGCAAGGTTGGGAGCACCTGGGGGAGTTCTGTGCTTGGCACGAGCCCGTTGCATGAACCAATGCTGGCCTGAGGGTTGCAGGGTGGATAAATCATGGAAAAATCATTGCAGGGCTCTTTGAGGTCTGTAACACCAGAGCATCTCTGCTGCCACAGGCTGTGCTTGTGGTGTTTGGTGCTTGGGGCTTGTTTCCCTGTGCCATTGCCCAAATTCTGCTCAGCTGCCCTGCAAGAGCTCCACTGCTCAATGGAAAGGTCAKTTAAGCATCTTTCTGCTCCAAGATGGACTGGCTTTTATGAGAAAGAGAGCACTTGGCAGTAAAACTAACAACACTGATTGGCCTTCTTTTCCTTTTCCTTACTTTTCCTTTCTTTTCCTTTTTTTTTTCCATTTCCTATCTTTCAGCTGCAGCACACGGTTATTCAAAGGCATAAAATGATATTTTTGCTGGGTCTGACTGGTGCATTGTTAAATAGTGGTTGTTTCCTTTTCATTTGACAGGAAYGCTGGAATCAAAGGTGCAGAATTTCCACTGCATCTATCATGACTGGGAATACCTGACGTGCACTTGGCAGCCAGGTCTCCTCACACCTCGTGGTGCAAATTATGGGCTGTATTATTGGTAAGTATCAGCAAAATGGGCTGTAATATTGGTATGTATCAGCAAAATAGGAAAACATCCAGGCAGCAATCAGGTGAACCACTCAGAGCACAAAAATGCCACAGTAAATATGCTTTTATGGCTGGAAATTCTATTGCCCAATTCACCCAGAATGAASCAAAATAACGTCCCAAGCAACACATGCCTTCTGGCAAGAAAATACCAAATCMTTCCTTACTTTCTTAGAATCAGACTTATCTTGAGCTTTGCCAGGAAATGCCTTCTCATTTCCTCCTTTCCTTTCATTCATCCCTGTGAGGTGTTTTCTGCTTGCTGCCCACCACAGACTTGTGCTTTCTCTTTGCTGAGCACACCTGGATGGTTCTGGCTGCACATTTCCCATCACCACAGTGCACATATCTCAACAGCACAGGATTTAGCACGAGGCTACCAAGCTCAGTGAACCCTAGACAAGAAGTGGAGCTTCTCAGCAAACGTAGAGTTTTAGTGTTCAAATATATTTTCATAGCCTCAGCACATCTCCCACAAGCAAACATGCTGTCACAAGGTAATAATAATGCGTATTTCTCAGCTGTTTCTTTTAAACTGGTGCCTAAAATCTGTTCTGTGGGAACAACAGCTAGAATTGGTGGTTTGGGACAAAGTAAATACTGTATTTGTGCTTCGAGTCCTATGATATTATGGAAAGAATGACTTAGGCTGGGTTTCATTCCACTGGGCTGTGTGTAGGAAAGCATAGCTGCATTTTAAAGAGGTTCCATGTAGCTCTTTGAAACACTGTTCAAAGTAGAAGTGCTAACTGCAAAGGTCTGCTTGAAAGAAACCATGGAAATTCRTGATTCATGCTTAAAAGGAAAACAAACACTAAAAAAACCCATCTTTTATTTAATTGCCTTCTATAAAAACAGGCRGTTGGATCTGGGTCCCATTGTATAATAAGGGTGGACACCACAGCATCCTTTGATCCCTGTGAGCTAATTTTTATAGWACTAAAACATGAAATTTTCCCCCCAAACATAACGTGCAGTGCAGGGAAATTTTTATCAGGTCTGGAGCACAGAGGGCAGATTGAGCCCTGCCTCRAGGGCACTGAACCAACAGGAATCTTAAAAGCTATCATGAAACACCAGTGAGTATTTCCAGGATGGAGCCAGCAGCTCAGCCTTGGGGAGTGGCCCTCAAAGGCAGAAGGGACAGGGTTGTGGTTGCACATTGGACAATAATCAGCAAAGCCCTTCCTGCCTTCCACCCTGAGTTTCCATGATGTGCCCGTAGAGCCACGGGACCTTCCTGCAATCAGCCAGAGCAGCTCAGCAGCACGCAGTGCACTCATGGCACGTGTCACCTGCCTGAAAACACTGCAYTTTGGCTTGGGAGAGGACCTTTCTGCAGCTCCAGTCGGTGGCTGATGGTGCAGAAGGGCCCTACAGGACGGTGACACACTCCATGAGCAGAGGCCAGACCCTTCCCCAGCCCCAGTCACACGGTGACACCTCCTGTCCTCCAGGAATGGGCTCAGAGCCTGACACAGCCTACAAACCAACCTGGGAAGCCCTCTGTGCATGTTAATTTGGGATTTTTTTCTCTTCCCCATACTTTTGTCATGGCAGGAGTCCAGGTGGCTGATCCACAGCCCTGTGCTTTGGACAAAGGGTGGGATATGAGCAACACACGAGGCTCAGGCTCGATCTTAAAAGAAAGGTTTTACTAAGTAGTAACTTGCTTTGGTTAATGCTTCGTGTCTGTTTCCCTGTACATGCCAGGTACGATGGGCTGGACAATGTKGTGCAGTGTGACCACTACATCCAGGAGCAGGGGATAAACGTGGGCTGTGTGCTGCACAACCTCAGCCAGGCTGAGTACCGGGATCTGAACGTTTGTGTCAATGGTTCAGCAGCAGCCACCCTGCTACGGCCACTGTACAGCACCCTGCGCCTTCACAACCTGGGTAAGGACAGCACCCCTGTGCCACCACACACCCCAGCTCACTTCCTGCATTAGGGATCCGAAATGAAGGTGTGCTTTTGGAAATGGGTGGCTGGAATGAGCACATTTCCCCCAGGGAAGGGGCTGTGGCATTGCCAAGCAGGATTTGAGTTTCCAGGAGTGTTTGCAGGCAGCACACCCAGCACACACCCTGGAGAGCAGCGGGTGCCTCCAAGTGCTGCATTTGGACAGCTTGGGACATGAATGGTCTTGGGACATGAATGGTCTTGGGACATGAATGGGTATGTGGCAGAGCAGCTGTGGGATTTTTGGCCCTAGCAGCATGGTCACAGAGATATTTTCATTTACTCCTGATGGAATTGAAATCACTGCTCCACTCCCTTGCAAGCACAGCTGGGGTGAGCTGAGTGCAAGGTGTGATGGGGTCTGTCAGAGCAGGGATGGATTTAGAGCCCATGAGAGACAGGGAAAGGGAGCAAAGCACAGCATGACGTGCAGACATTACGTGTGCACGGTGTTTATTATGGCACTGACCGTGCTGGTGCACTCACCTACTGCCAGAAGGATAAATAGCCAATCCTCCAGCTAAGCCACTGGCCTAATGAGCAGGATTTCTGAATTCAATTAGTGCTGCCACATGCTTCACGCGTGGCTTTGGGCATCTGACACAAAGCAGAGCCGTTTTTGGGATGCAGAGAGTGCCAGCCCCGCATTGCTGTGCTGTCCCTGAGCCCGGGAGTGCCGGAGGCTCCGAGCACAGCGTTCACAGCCCCCGCTTCAAAACCCTCTGCACTGCAGCCCAGGGCAAGGACCCGGCCAGCCTGTGTGTCAAGTTAAAATAAATAACCCACCCTCCAGCCTCTGTGACATCCTGCTCCTCCAGCATCGTGGCTGCGAGCCAGGAGAGCTCAGAAATCCCATTAGCGGGGAAAGGGACAGAGGCTGGCGGTGATTAACCGAAACTTTTCCACCAGGAGCCGAGTACACTTCTTGACCTCCTCTCTCTGTTTCCCCTGCCAGCAAAGCCCTCGCCCCCGCAGCAGCTGGTGCTKGTGAGTGCAGCCGAGGAGCTGCTGGTGGTGTGGAGCCCGCCGGGCGGGAGAACGCCGGCATCCTGCCTGGAGTACGAGGTGCAGGCGGCCGAGGATGCGGGGGCAGCAGCGGCAGCCTGGGCGGTACGGACAGCAGGCAGGGTGCCCGGGGACGGGGAGGGACCGGGGGCTGTGCTGGGGCCGGCTCTGGGGAGGTACGGGCGGTGTGGTACGGGATCCACCCGGGTACGAGCGCTGCGATGCGGGATCAGCGATGCGAGATCAGCCCGGGCACGGACCGTGCACAGCCCCCGGGGATCGGAGAGCGGCCGCTGCTGCCCTGCACATGTTCCTACTTAACCCCCTGACCTCCCGCCGCTGCTCTGCTTTGGCAGTATCGGGTCCCAGAGGGAGTCTCCAAGGGAGCGCTTCCTCGGAACTCCTGCCTCTCTTACCTCAGAAAACCGCCGTCGAAGAAATTTMAAGGTCGCTGTGGTTTGTTTCCCTGGATAGAGTAGCACAGCTTGGACCAACAAAACTGATGCTAATCTCTCAAAAAGAGTGGCCTGGGACAGAACACATCCTTTATGAAGGGTGCTTTTTCCTTGTGCATTATCCAGGTGCARTTTGGACAGCGAAAGTGAAAAGGACTAATTAATCATAGGGGACATCTTTTAATTGTCATGTCCCACACATGAGAATACTTAGGTAATATTTAACATGAGAATAGTTAGGTAATCAAAAGAAGGATTCCATGAGAGTATTTAGGTAATCAAAAGAAACGTTCCATGAGAATATTTAGATAATCAAAAGAAAGATTCCACAAATGAAATGGCATAAATGGCAACATACATGATGGCACCCCCAGAAAATATTTTCAKTAGATTTGTTCTTCATAATCATGTTATTTGCATTAGATTGCACAAAACTGTTATGAAATCATTTAAAACTGCCAAAAGATAMTCCAAGGGTTTACAGAGCCTGGACAGTATGTTCAGGAACATCRGGCCACACCAGACAGATCCTGGTGGTGGCACGAATTCCTTGATATTTCTTCTTTCTGTTTTGTTTCTCAGTTTGTGTCGACCCAAATGGAAACYGCTCTAACAATTTCCAGAGCAAATCAAAGCCACGTTTCATGTGTTCGTGTCAGGGGCAGAACAAACACTTTTTGTGCTGACCAGGGCTTTTGGAGTGAATGGACGCAGGATTGTTTCTCGGGTATGGAACCCCAAGTAAACGGTGCTTCTTTTACATCCTTTGTCAAACCTGTTCGGGTGCAAGTGCTGATAGGTGCCAGGGGGATCTGCTGGTGTCCAGCACTGGGGGTGGGATGATGGCTTAGTTACACCCTCAACCTGCTCCAGCACAGCCATTCCTTCAGCTTGGCATCTCCACTTAGCAGGCAAGCCCCAAAATATTAATGCTTCTACAGCAGCACTTTCTCTGCTGGATGGGGACAGGATGGAGCAGTGACTGCTGAGCAGAGGGCAGGGGGAGCCTGCAGTGTCTCCACAGGGCACCCTCCTGGCTGTCCTGACCACACATCAGCTCCTTTGAACCCTGAGGGCTCTCYTGGGCTGTCCTGGTGTGCACTGGCTCTGCTGCAAGGTGCAGGAGGCAGGGGAGAGGCACACGGCAGTGCCTACATCTGTGTGAGCAGAGGATGTGCTCCTGAGGGAGGATGTGACCCCATCCAGAAACATATACCTGCAATAAATAAATAAATAAATAAATAAATAAATACATAAATAAATAAATAAATAACAACATGTAGGGAACATGGATGCGATGAGTTTGCATCCGAGCCCAAGCTTTGTAGGAGGTAATACAATCTGTTCCAGCATCTTCTTATTTCCTGTCATTTATCTTTGCAGTGTCCACAAAAGAGGACAAGCAGCTATTTATCCTCATCCCAGTCATCCTGAGTTTGTCAATTAGCCTCATAATATTTATGCTGATTGGCCAGTGCAAGAAAAGGTAAGCAGCAAGGCAGCCTGTCCCAGCAATGCGTGTTTATGTTGGTGTCTACTGCTATTTATAAGTGCAGTTATAAAGGAAACATCATGTTAAATGTCTGAGGGCCAAACATTAATAGATGTTCTAAGATTGGGCACCAAACAACAGTTCATTTTCAGTAAACAACCTTCCTGAGTGTGTCTGTTTCTGATATGAAATGCCCCTACAGCAACCCATAAACTCACTGCAGAGACTCAAACACTGCTCATAAGAGCTCAGACTGTTTCTGTTAAATGCAGCAGTTACTTGCATGCACARCAGCATAAATAAAGCTATTATCATGCCCCAAACCACTCAGGAGCACAGATTTGTACTAGCTGTGTTAAAGCAGGGCCATTTTAAAGGGCTAAACCCTCGTTCTCTCGGCGCTCTCTTCCCAGTTGTTTACATTCATGTCACTGGTGGCACACAGGGAGASCAGAGGCAGTGCATGAATTTGTCTGTTTTTACTGATGATAATTCCTTCAGCTCTGAGGGGTCACTTGAACTGGTCCCCCCATACTGATAATTATCATCTTGTCCTGAAGGCCACACAGCACAAGCAAGCAGGAGGCTTTAATAGGCCTTTCAAGGCATCCCTCAGGAGGGAGAACCGGCTCTCAAAATATCTTTTTGTTGTCCTCAGAGATGAACTAACCCCATTTGGTCATTGAATGCATGGAGTTGGATGCACACTATTTCATCTTCGCTTTGCATCCACCTTCCAAACGTTCTGGTTCATGAAATTCAAACAATGTGTAGATACTAGTGAGGAATCTGTGGCAAGATGGAAATCAGTGCTTCCTGCATGGCCTGAGGGGATGCTGGAGCACCTCCTCAGCTCTCTCGGTGTTAATAACAGCTGTGTCCGTTTCAGATCGGCAGCRGGAAAGCCAGTGCAGGGCTCTGCGGGATGCTAGAGCTGCTCTGCACCGCCTGTGCTCGATGGTGCTCGAGGAACACCATCCCCAGGACAGCCCAGCAGCCCGGAGCTCTYCTCTGCTGCCTTTTGTGACGCTGGGTGCTGCAATCCCAGTCCTTCACGGGCCCAGGACACCGGAGGGGTTCAAACCAACAGGAAAACTGGAAGAGATCTAAACTGACAGCGAAAAAAAAAAAAGCTGTTCCTGATAACAGGACAAGGGAGAAAAAAGGAGGCGGTGGAAACTGCCATGAATAAAGATAAACTGTTGTTATCTGTGGGTTTGCCTGGTTTTTTTTTTTTTTTCGTTTCTTTTGCCCACACTGAAGGGCAGCACCTCACACCTCACACACACTGCCAGCTGCACACCAACCCCTGTGTCACACCTTCTCTCACCAGGTCTTCCCTTTCCTCAAATTCTCAGCCTGCTGAGAGCATCTAATGCTGAACAGGAGCTACCTGAGCTATTTATTTCATTATCTGATATGCTTTATCTGTTGAAAAGCTCGTGTGGAATGGCCTTCAGAGAAACTTTTGTTATAAAAAGGCACCACCAGAGCTGCTGTAAAGAACAGATGATCCAGATGAGAAGTGAGGGTTACACTGGCAAATGTAACATGGGAATTTCTCTAGGAAGTGGACACTRGCACCAGAATTCAATGAAGCACATTAATGTTTTTCATCACTATGTATTCAGTTGATGAAATTGTTGATTGTTTTTTAAGGAACCATTCCCTATAACTATGATAGAAAAAAAAATTTAAAAAATTGCCACTGGATGAGATACTGTTTTCCAAGCCCGTTCTGGGTTGCTTTTTTTTTTTTTTTTTTTTTTTTTGATTGAAGAGCTAACCAAAGCAAACACAGAGGTTTAGTGTGGTTTCATTTCATCTTTACAACCCTGAAAACCTATTTTCTTGCAGGARCATTTATTCGAAGTGGGAATTTCTAATGAACAGTGGAATCTCAAAGAGAAAATCAACTTTGTGTCAATCAGCTATGTAAAGAGCCATACTAATCCAATCAGGAACAAAACAACACAGCAAGTGCTGTCTTACACATCCAACTGCAAAATTATTCAATCACCATCAGCTGCTTCCACTGCTAAATGGGCAACAGCCCAGAGTAATCTGGGGAGCCACCAGAGGAGGARAGAACCAGGAAAAAATGGTCCATGMAYAGACTGAAGCAGAAATGAAGTTTTGTCATTGCTGCCACACGACCTCTGCCTCTGCTGCCTCCTGGGGCTGCTGACCCCAGCATGGGGTGGGCTTTACTTTACAAACACCCACGAGTGTGCACTGGGCATGGGTTTTCAGAGCTGCCTTCACGCCTCTGGTGTTCTGCCAACCTCTTGAACAGCTAAAATGTGAATGAAAAACACGTGAGAGAGTTGTGAATGTCCCCAAGGGGAAGAGCAGGGCAGGCAGAGTCCAGCCTGTTGTCCAGGGTACACCTGGTGTGATCTCAACTGGGAACACTGGGCACATCTGGAATGGGACRAACACTGCAGCAGCCCCAGGCTGCAGGATGGGTTTAAGCTGGGCTAAAGCCTCTGGTCTAATATGGGCCAAAAAAAGGAAAGGAAGAAGCATTAAAGTGCATGGGTGCAAGGAAGAGATAACATAGGAAAGGGTGTTGTCCCTCTGCAGCTAGAACTCACCCCAAAAAAGATCAGAGCTATTTCAGTAACCACAAAATATAAAAGTTGGGCTGAAGCCTGCCTAGAAACCTGCCTAGTAACAGAGTGATAAATTAAGTGCATCTACTTATGGTGTGTGTACGCTGCAGCTTTGGAGGTAAGGAAAGCTGTGCTTGGCCCCGTGCAGGGCTCCCTGCTCCCCAAACTCACCCCTGCAGCAAAACATCTCCCACCTGCTTTCTCACAGCACCACATCTGCAGCATCTGCACAATTCAGTCCTAATAGGTGGCCACTGCCTTCCTAACRTCCTGAACCTCGCCAGAATTTCAGCTGTTTTTTTCTATCCTGTGTTTACAGAAATACACTAATGTATTTCTGTCACACAGTAGTCTCATTACAGTGTTTTAATTCATTTGCTGTAGCCCATAATTGATATTTTTAGTAAAGCACTTTTAAAATCCCTCCTTTGGCATGCTCTGCTCTTCTTGTTCCCAGCTCATGTCTGGGCGCCACACATTTTTACCATCTAAGCTCCACATGTCTGGTGARACAAGTCTTTGTCTTTGCACACCCATGAGTTTAGAGTCTTCTTTCTGTCTTTGACTGATAAAGTCTTAGAGCCATTTGTTGAAGAATAAAACCAACTTTTGCTTTTTTTTTTCCCCTAGAGAGTGTCAATACTTGTCACACATACGAAAGCACGATCCTGTGCATGCTGCAGGGAAATGCAAAATCAATTTAGTCTGTCATATTCTAACTGCTTTTGAGAAATAGCAAAACAGGGAAGATGAATGCCAAGGTCTTCGAACTCAGAAATCACCCTTCTTCTCTCACTGAGCTACATTTTCAAGCTGCCAGCAAGAGAAGAGTGAAAATCAGTTTACATTTTGTTTCCTCATATCCATCTTCATATTTCAACAACTGTGACTTGTCAGTGGCTGCAAGACATAAAGCAAGGCTGGCGTTTTGCCTTTACAAGAACACAGGGACACACGAGGAGAGAGAACACTGGACAGGCTGCCCAGAGAGGTTGTGCAGTTTCCTCTGGAGATATTCAAAAGCCATCTGGACACAATCTGGAGTGAAGAGCACTTGGGGACCCTGCTGGAGAGGGGCTGAGCACGATGAGCTTCAGTGTTCCCTTCCAGACTTACCCGTTCTGTGATCTCTCAGGAGCTCTTTACTCCTCCTGCACTCGAGGAAATGAAAAGGTGGATGTTGTATCTCACCGGCCGAGGCGTCTCTGCTGCAATTTTCCATCCTGAGCAGGCGCTAGAAATTCCACGGCCACTGGGTGTCAGCATCTGTGCTTGGATGGGGAGTGGAAAGCAGGTGCAGCAGCATCGCTGCCGCCAGAATTGGGTATTTAGCGCATGAAAATGAACCAGAAGGGATAATGGCTCTGTCACCGTGAGAAAGAAGAGTCTTGTTCTCTCCGTACAGCTGAGCAGGGGGTGTCACAGCTTTGCCCCATCGGCTCTGGGGTGACCGAGGAGTGACCCGTCCCTGTGCCCCGGGGCATGGTGCCCACAGCCCAGAGCTGCTGCACTGACCACAGCTGTGTCCCCAGGACATGGATCAGCCTGAGCCACTGCCCTGCCCCAGCTCCTGCCACCGGGCACCCCAGAAATGTCCCATCAGCTCAGAGGGGACACTGGGCTGAGCAGGGACCGTGCCCTGCTGTGTCCTTCCCTCACTGTGGCAGCAGCTCTGGCACCCCTGAGCC